CCAAATAAATGATGCTGTTAAGAAATAGTGTTCAGATGCATTGGTTGTCTATTTACTGCATAATTTATCAACTTCTATATATTTTTAGCCATGCCCGCCTAAAAGTCAGCGTTCACCTGCAATGAATTTGAAACTACTAGGAGTCTGAATGTAGATAAGCCTTTGTCAATCGGACTTGCTTTTATGATTGTTAGAATGAAATCTGCTGTAACGGAGTCTGGTTGGCCACAAGGGCTTGTCTGTGCTCGAGGTACCGTAATTTCACTTGCACTTCAACAAACCTATTCTTTGGACTGTTGTCGTCATTTGCGTATGCTTTTAATACGGGTAATAATGATGAAAATTGCCTAACCCAAAGGGTGTTTGCTGTACAGGTGTTATTTGGATGTGAGTATGCAAGCGGATACATGCGTTGTCTCTGAAAGTGGAAAATTCTGTAGTGAGATGCTGGTTCTGGTTCACTGGTGAAATCAGGTGTGTGAGTGCGGCTTCACCAAGACTGATAGAGGTAGAACGTAGACCACAACTAGGCAGACATAGTTTACCACTGTGATTTGCAAATTTTCTTCTAGCTTATCTCCTTTCTTGCCAAAAGTAAGTAAGGCCAATAACTTCAGTAGCTGAGTTGTCGTTACTCTAGTTTTTCACGTACCCAGAGCAGCCTCTCTGTAAACCTAAATGTGGGAGAAGAGGTAAAGCCAGGAAATCCTGAGAATTTGTGAGGACACCTGAGCTTTGCAAATGTAAACTGTAGAGAATGCGCAGCTCCCTAGATCATGACTGAACTTTTTTTTTTTTCCCCAAATAGAAGTATGTAGAATAGTTCAGCTGATCTTAATTCCATACCTGTCCTCTTCTATGGGTTGTCCTGTTCAGATAAGATGAAAGTGTTAAACAAATACAAGCTGATTTCTGAGTACTGTACGGGTCAGAGTTTCTGCCCCAGGGTCTGTTAGCCCTGCTGTAAACTGTGACCACTTTTGTTGCTGTATAGACTGGTATTTGTTAATTATATTAATCGGATGCCTTACAGATTTATGAAGATGAGGTGGAAGGTGTGTGGTGTCTCTTGACTCCCAAGGACTTCAAATACATTTTTCAGCACTCTTCTCCCTTGGTTATCCCAATTTTAGAGAACTGGAAGGATGAGAAGCTTGCTTACCCTACGCTGCTGGATACGGAAAGAACGGATGCTATGGTCTGTGAAGTAAGCTTTCCTAGGCTCTCTTGGCGTAGGGTCTGCAAATTGCTAGGCAAGATCTCAGAGCATACCGAGTGTTCCCCATTCTGAAAGGTTTTTGTGAGGCGCTGATAAAAACAGCTTGAGATTTTGCTGTAGAGGAGAACTTTGTAAGTCAAAGATGTCCTTAGAAAGTGATTGTTATCAGTCAAACTTACAGTGGTAGATCTGGCTGTAGATGTTGTTGTGTTACTCCAGACTGCTGCCTGAAGCTTAATTAGAAGCAGGGGTTCAGCAGGATGCAAGTTCTTAGGTTTAACTGATGATGTCGCATTTAAAAAAATGATACAAATGTATTAAGAATTTGGGCAGAGTGATTGGAAAGATGGAGTGAATTGTTGAGAATTTTATTCCAGAATATAATTGTCTAGTCAAGAGTAGTTTGGGGTGATGACGGAAGTACAGGACTCCTGTGTATCGCTTTGAAGGGTACCATAACAGAGGCTTTCGGAGGAAGTGTTTCAGATCAGCACTGACGGATGCTGCTTGTTTGTCCTGCTTGTATTGAACTTTGTGTTGAATTTCCTTCAAACCTCTTCTTCCTTGCCTCTAGGTCCCGATTCACAAATTAACATTTTTGAAGAAAGCAGAGGTTATCTTACCTGTGTAGTACGACATTGCTTTAAACTTCACTAGTCTGCAAGAAAATACTGCCTGCGTTCTCTTTTATGGTACTAAGCACTTGGAGATCTTGGCCATTGGTAGCAATTGTAAAGGTCCACACTGTGGCTTCTTCCAGGTTAATCCAGGAGCTCTAGAGGAGCTAATGGAACTCAGAGTAATGTCTCAGAAGTGTGAAACTGCAAGTGGAAATACCGCGAATGATCCGATTATCTGTGTTAGAGCCAAAGCAGACCTTAGGGGTTAAGGAGACTAAAGATGTTGCATATAACTTAAGAGTTGTGAATCCTTGTGTTTTTCTCCTGTCACCATTCTAAGGCATCTTCTAATCCCCCCCCCCCCCCCCCCCCCCCCCCAAAAAAAAAAAAAAAAAGGGAGGCTTGCGTTGGGCTCCAGTGTAGGCTCGAAGTTGCTATGTGTGGGTATGTTGCCTGTATTGAAAGAGGTCTGCAAGTTTTGAAGTGAAAAGCTTCAAAACTGTGGCTGTAAAGTATATTCTATGCGGACAGTATTTCGAGTGCTATTAAGGCCTTTGCAATTTCATGACTATTTTTTTCCTGACAAGAAAATGCAGAACTGTATGCTGTTGGAAGGTGTGAGGTGCTGGGTTACTTCTGCGTTTCAGTGCTCTACTGGGAAACCTGCCGGCAGAGTAAGGTGACTGCCTGCTCTGGCGCATGTGGAAGAGCCTGGAAGGAAAGTAATTCATGCTTACTATTTCCTGTAGGAGCCAGTGTGGTATAACTACGTCTAGGAAGCTCAGAAAATATGTTAAAATAACGATTGTCTTAAAGTTTTATTAGAAACGTGGAAGTTCTCTACCACAGCTAGATCTACCAAGTGGGCCAGGGGCTTCTTTTCACGAAGACACACCGAATGACACCACTTGGAAAACTGCTGAAGTAAATGGATACAGTATCGAGCTCATACGCAGGCATTGCTTGAGGGTATTTCTCGACTAGAAGCCTATGCTATCTTCATGAAAAACCAATAGATATGGTAAAAGAAGCAGGTGACTAATGTATATGTTTCTGTGACATACGTTGCTAAATCAAACTTGAGAATCCAACAAGTACGGGCGGTAGGGCAATTACAAAAGTGTTTATGCGTTTAACGAGGGTATTAACTGCAGAAGATGCAAGTGTAAGGGTAAGCGTTTTCCACAAAAATGTCTGAGAACTTGAGATAGCTCGGAAGTTTAGTGGATGCAAACTGCTTTTTTGCATGGAACTCAAGTGCAGTAGAGTAGAAAAGTGAGGACAGAGCTTACAGGTTAATCTGAAAACGTAAAAGTAGAGCAATGTTTCAGTGTTGTGACTGGACTATGCTTGTGTTCCTGAGATGCAGGAAAAAAAAAACGCATTGTAATACCATGAAAGTATTTCTAGTGTCTCTGCTATCCCCAGCTTCCTTATCTAGCTTTTCTTCTGTCGTATCTTGGATGGTAGTGCTCAATATATGTAAAAACGTGCTATTTCCGCAGTAAAAGCGTGTTGAACTTCTCCTCTGAACTTACTGTATTGCATTTCCTCTTACATTCCCTCTACAGATCAGAGCTCAATGTCTTTCCTTTTTCACGGCGCTGACAAGGTGTAGAGATTTTAGTATTTTTATATACCAGAGTACATAGACAGTTCATCTTCAGCTGCTTTTTGCTGTTCAGTTGTGAATCTCAGAGTCAAATGCCTGTTCTATTGGTTGTCAGGGCTGCTGGGCCTTACCCTGTCAGCTTTGCGCTCCAAAGTGTTGTATATATCCCAGTTTGTATCAAATTCATCCATTCAAAAATTAGACCAAAAAAACCTGGTTTCTGTGAATAAGTGAACAAGACTATGATCAGCTATTGACTTAACGGGTAATGTTGGACAGAGAATCGAAATTATTATGAATGTCATTCTGCATCATACAGAAGTGTAGTTGACAGAATAGCTGTTTAAAAATGTTCATATTTTAACATCTACCTCTTAAGCATTTTGAAACCTTTTTTCTTTCCAATAGGCAGATGTTTTAAAATATCATTTATTCTAGTGAAGATTTGTTAAATTTGTTTGTACAGTTGATTTTTCCTTATCGTTAAAGTATTATTTTATGCTTTGTGTAACTGCACATTGGGGTCTGAGCATATAATTAGAAGTAATAAGACCTAATGGGTTTTGAAACTCCCTTTGCTTGTTTCTCAAATTATGCAGTGGGATGTGTCTGCTTTGATAAAATGCTGTATTATTAGGCACATGGTTTATCCATGTAGTTCAGTTAGGCAAATAAGGGAAAATATCTATGTAAACAGCTGCCTGTCATTTTAATTTAGAAAAACAGCTTTTTTCCCAGTCTTTAGAGCTTGATGGGAAAGAAGGTTTTTTTATTCAAATTTCTCAGTTGTTAAATTAGGTTCCTGTTCTAAATATTCGTCTAAAACTGTAAATTTCAGACTGTGTCCCATCTGGCTGTTGATGCTTTCTGTGAGTGCAGTTTTGCAAATGTTTTTGATATTGTTTAGTTCTGAATGTCTTGTTCCTAGAGCAAGGCTGAATTACTCTGACTCTGTTCTGTCCAGAGTAAAGATGAGAGATTGCAGAAAGTTTCTGTCTGAAGCAAAATGATGGGAAATGTGATAACTGTCTGATTCTTGTGGTGTAGGTCAAAGAGTGATTAGAAATTTGTTTCACTAAAATTTAGCATGGGGAACTGAGAGACCAGGTTTTTGCAGCACAGAATATTGATTCTGCTCTTGAGTGTTAGCTTCTACCTCCAAAAAACCCAGTCTTTGTGGGGGGTGATTTATGTTGAGCATGAAATCGTAGTGATTGTTTAAATGGTTCCGCTTTGGAGCGGTTGCCTACAAACTGAAAATAGCTGCTCTAAAAAACAATTTTAATGTGTCTTCAGTTTCTAGCAGATAAAAATGGAGATTTGTTTTTTTCTTTGAGCTCTTACGTGGTTCTTCTGTATTCTTAGAATAAAAGTGAAATTTCCTTTCATATCCTTAAATCTCTTAATACGATTTGAATTTTATGGCACTACAGTAGAGAGGCTGATAGACTTGCATTTCCTACTTTCTGCAGTATATTGATCCATTTTTGTCTGCTTTGATGGACCGGTGAATTTACTTTTTTTTTTTTTTTCTTCATACTTGTTCCAGGTGATGCTTTTCTTAGTGTATTGGATTAAAAATGCAATCGCATAGTGTTTTTGCTGAGGATCACAATTACATCGAAGGTGGGTTTGAACAGCTGTATTGAAAAAGCATAGCAATTTTGCCTAAAAAAGACTGTTTAAGAGATTAAGCTAGTTGCGGGGGGTGGGGTGGGGGGGGGAAGAATAATTGCTAAAAGCTCATGAACTGTGATCCATAGATCAGTGATGCCTTTTAGAATGTTTAGTGGTAGTTGGAAAGCTGATCAGAGAGACATGATCTAACTTTTTATTTTTAAATATTGTTAGAGTTAGTTAGGCAAGTTATTCTGAAAAATAAGTTGAAAGTGTATAGAAAGGAAGGGTGGGACTTTAGGGAAGCATTCCAAGGGTAGTATTCTGATTCTTTGCGTATGCTGTGCAATGAGGAGGAAAAAAAAATGCCAATAAACCTGAAAACTTCTGCTAATGGGAGGAGGAAGGAGCAAGGTAGTCATGTGGTATGACTGGAAAATGGCTGGGTTGTCCATTCAGGGAATGTGTGAGCAATTAGCAAACAAGCATATCAGTGGAGAATGTGAAATAAAGGTGAAAGAGGAATGGAACCCACTGAAAGCGTGACCAGACTAGGTATAAAACCTTTTTTCCTTTACAATACTACATTTCCCACAGTACTTTTCTGGTGTTACTTTTCCATCATAAGCAGTGGTAGTTTCTGCAGACGTGCTATCTGCCTGAGAAGATGTTCTTTGTGACAGCGAGTGGGAGTGAAAGTAGTTGCCAAGGCAGTCTGTTTATGTCTGTAGTAAGAAAATGCTTGAGAAAGCCCAGGGTAAAACACTGCTGATACTTAAACGATCATATATAGGGATTGTTTTAATATCCCAGAACCACTTTTTAAATAAGTTTACCTTATCATTTTATTTTGAGTTCAGGGAAACTTGATTATTTTTACAAGTTTCTAGATGTCTTGTGGCATTCAGGGAAGATAAATTCCTTTTGTGAAGTCGCAGTGCCATTCAAAATTTTGAATTTGAAAGTAGGCTGTAAGTTTGGAAATGTTTGGTTGCTCATCTCTGTAAACCTAACTGGCTAATGAGAAGAATCTAGTTACAATTGCCCGCCTTATATTAGGCGTTGCAGGTACGCTTCAGTGCAGAGAGCCACTTGTTCTTTCCCTGCCTCTCCCAGTTGCCTTCTGGATTTATTTTCCTGACATGAAAACTCTTATGTATTTCCAGTTCACCTTGTGCAAGATTTTATTGTAAAGCTCAGCTATCATGAGACGCATTCTAGTCACAAGGTGTTATTGAAAGAGAACTTATTGCATGCAAACTTTTGCGTTTTATTTCTAGCACTGTGGCTGGCCAGCCAGCAGCGTCTGCTTGCTGATTTGCTGCATGCGTTAAATCCAAACTCTTTTCTGTTGGAGTGGGAGAAAATGTTACCATACTTGGCTGTTTTGGAAATGTTTAAGTATAAGAAAGTCAGGAGTGTAGGTAGGATAGTGCAAAAGGAAATAAAACCGGAATGTATATTTCACATACTAGCGCTCTGGATAGGGTGTACCTCACCAGAATATTTGAATTCTGCTGAACTATGTGCAATGATAAGAATCTGCAACAAAAACTGTGGTGGATTTTGCTTCTCCCCGATGTGTTGAGTATTGATGTTTTCCTCTGTCTAGCTGAAACAGTGGCTTATGGAAAAAGTAGTCAGTTCTATCCAAGCATTTTAACCTGTCCGCTCAGTTGAGCCATACTATTCAGCTCTCTGAAGCCTAATTGGATATGTCACTTGTTCTCCTTCTTCTTCCTTTTTTGTCACTCTTCTGTAGCTTGTCTTTAAAATAATGCTCTTAATTGAAAGCTGCAAAGATGTTTTCTGAGAAGACTGCCTCTAATCCTTGCAGAACCCAACAGGGACGTACCAGTTCTTCTGTTCAAGCTCTCCTTAGGATTTTGTCAGTTTTTCTTCATGTCTCTTCCAGCTATAGAACTAATTCTTGTATGATGTTTTCTCCCCTTCTCTCCCTCCAGCCCGATTCTCATTTAGCTGTTTTTTGCCTAAGCTGAATGTTTTTGTTATCCTTTTCACTCCAGAAAGAAACTTGGGAATCCGATCCTGTGCTATTAAGTGCAAAATTTTGCCGTTGGTTTTACTAGATGCGGGGTTCAGCCCTGCTGCTATTATTACTTTTCTTTTTTTCTTTTTTTTTTTTTTTTTTTTTGCCCTGGCATTTTTTACAGCTTTCCTCAATTGAAGGATATTCTGTTAATAGAATTCACGTTCTCTTTGCCATTTTCCAGATTAACAGAGTTGTTAAATGAGGTCATGCCACATTGCAAACTTTCTGCTCTCTGATAAATATGTTACCGTTTGTTTAATTGTGTTGTGTTTATAGTAGTTTCACAGCCTTTCATGTTGTGGTGGTGTTTGAAGACCAAATTAAATTACATTAAGTGAAAGATAAGATTTCTGAGACATAGTATCAGGTATTCAATTAGAAACCTAAATCTGCTTGATCAAAAGTCCTTGCAACATATGCTCTGTTTGTAATTATATTTTAAAAGGCTGTTAGGCATATCTGGTAAAGCCTTTGACTGTGAATCGATTCTGCTGATGGCTTAAGAGTTCTGCTGTCTTTTAAACGTTTAGGTATGTTAAATGTAATACTTTCGTCTGAGAAGATACTTAACTTTTTTCTGAAAACTATCGCAGTGCATAATATTCTGAGTGCAGAGATATCTGTGTGCTGTAAGAAGCAAAAACTTAGAAATGTAGCCTAATTTTCTATGTCTGAACTTAAGGAGCAGTTAGTGAAGGGTCTGATCATGACATAAAGAATACAAAACACAATTTCAGGTGTTCAGCTAGTATTTAATATGCCTTTTTTTTTTTTTTTTTTTTGCTAATGTATCTAGAAGAACATAGTTTGTCTCTGTTTTGCAGTCTTTGCAGTAACTTGTAAAAATAGTAAAGCAGAAATCAGAAGGCATAGGCAAGTATTCTAGGAGGTTCCAAAAAAATAGCTCCTCTTGAGTAAATATGAATTCCACTGTTACTTTTTACTTTATAAAATAAAGCATTCCTGAGATAGAAACAGGGTAAGCTGGTTTTAAAATATATTTCAAGAACTGGTTTCCTGCAGCTGCTTTCTCATCGTACCTGGAGGAGTTGCCCAGGACTCCCTGGAGGGAAAAAAAAAAAAAAAAAAAATTAGTCTTCATCTCATCCATGGTTGCTTTCTGCGCTTGGCACAGAGATATAACGTATTTTATCTGTGTTTTCTTTTCAAAGTAAACAGAAGTTTGCTGTCCTCTAGAGTGTGGAGGATAAGAAGGTATTCCTCTGGGCTTGTCAGGAAAGTAGTTGTTTTGGATCATGGGTTCAGTGATGATTCTTTGCAAAATAACGTCTAGATGTTAGTCCAGACTTTTCAGCAAACTCTAATTAGAGGTGTTTCTGGCTTGTGTGCGTGATGTCCCAAAGGTATATTTGAAGAGATGAAAGAATGTACAGATTGGTATGTAAAACCTTTGGAGAAGAAGTGATTGCTGTGCTTGGCATATAGAGAGAATAAATATTTAATATTGACAAGAACTGATCCAAGTTATACCACAAGCATGTGTGTACAGTACCTGTTTCAGTCTATTTCAGATAAGAATGATTGAGTCATATTTAAAACTTAACGTACAGAAGTATTCATATGGTATCTTCTCTTTTAGTGTCATAATGCTTGAGCAAATGAACTTGAGAATGCGAGTAGTTGATCATGATTTTTGGACAATTTTCAATGTTTTTTTTAAGATGATAAAGTTAAGAGTAACATTCCGTGGGTCTGCCAGTTGTCTGTGGCGTGTCATCCATCTAGGTTGTGAGAAACAACTTCCTGCTGAAGATGAAATATAGCACTTGGTGCTTATATTTGCGTTAATGGTTGCAAAAGTGTTATTAGACTTGCTGTGCAAGTGCCGTTGGTATTATGCGTGACATAACGTCACGTGCTCTACTGGGCAGTGCGATTAAAACAACAAATTGGTAGAACCTCCCTGGAAAAGTAATAAAATCTTAAAATAATGCTACTTAGCATTTTTTTGAGTAAGATCTTAAAGAAATACAAATATTTGTTAAGTTTTCAGTATATTTTGGGGAGAGAAAAAACAGCCTTGGCTGTTGCCTGTAGATAGCGTGGCCTTCCCCTCAAGGTTGGATCAGCAGGGATAAGGAAATGTCAAGTGACTTTTTCCAGAATTCAGTGAGTTTCTGATGGTGTTTTAAGGAAATGTATGTTACTGTAATTTTCTTTTTTGGCTGATGCTAGTACTACGTTATTAGTACAACTTGCGCAATCAAGTGGTTTAGTAAGATAGTAGCTTAATATTGATAGCTAATGAGTACCTCACAGGCTGCCTTGTAAAGGCTGCAAATTGCAGTTAGGAAGCGGCAGAATTTAAGCGAACTAGTACATCTTTATTTCATCCCTTTTACATCGGCCTTAAGATAACCTATTTAATTACATGATCAGATGTTAACTTCTGTCTGGGGCACTTGTCCCTGACTGCCTCTGCACAAAATGTATTGTGTTCTGAAGCTGAAGCAGAGGTGTGTATGGAGGGAGTCTGCTGTTTAAAATGCTTGCTGCTTTGTAAGAGTTGAAAGATGTGTGAGAGGAAAGAGTCGAGGCAGCCAGGAGTTAAAAATACCTTCATGGTAAAGGTAGATGACTGTTGCTGTGGGGAGCTGTATCTCTGCCTCTGTTGCATGATTCCTTTGTAGTGTTGGGCGAGTTTTGGGGTGATCACTAATTGCTTGTTCCTTGTGCTCTAGATAACTTGCACCTTCCAGTGTATAATTTCAAAAATTTGGGATATGACAGCAAAAGTAAAAAAAACCTCCTTTTTATAGCATGCTGTCACTCACATGTATCATGACCAAGGCTGAAATTTACTGGCTCAGCAGTGTTAATTGGTTCTATCTCTTTAGACCAGCTCTAGACATTTACCAGACACCGTGCAAGCGGACTTCACAAAATTTGTTGGCAGAAGGGAGATGACAAGATCTGGTGGACCTGGTTCTACTCC